AAAAAAAAAAAAAAGTGCATTCAAATATTACTAGCTAGTTTTTGTGCAATCATAAAAGTTACTAGTCAAATTTATTACTACTATGTAGTAAATGTAGTTAAAAAAAAAAAAAAATTGATAACTGATAAGTTGGTTGATAATTTGTAAGTAATTTTGAGTTATAACTTATGGTCTTTGGCTAACGGTTGGAAACGATCTGATATAATAAGTGATTGATAAAATTAGCTAAAAAATCATATGAAATAAAAAATTCGATACGCTTTTTTTTTTTCAAGAACTATGTATTTAATGAAAATTATGAGATAATTAAGTTTACTTAATTAAATAAAAAAAATTATAAGCTAATTAAATTGGCCATAAGCAAGCGTATATCGGTTACCAAACACACTTTATATGTCTGAATGAATATGTATTTTTGCAATTTTGCTTCTCAAAAAGCGTTAGCATAGTCTCACAATTTTGCAATTATTTCACATAATGTTGAATTACACAATTGAGAACCTGTGGTGTTGTATATTTTTCTATAAATTGATTTCATGTAAGTGTAAAGAAAGTAATAGTAGTATCTTCAAGGAATAATAAATTAAATATATTTTTTTTTGGTACATAAAATTAAATTAAATATTTTAAATTAAAAGAAAGGAAAAAAAAAATATGTTGGTAAATTTAAATGGGTCAAATAAAAACTATAGTACTAATTAATGATAAATTTGGGAACATTAAACACACGCAATTACTGTTGCTGACATCAACGAATTTTCAATAAATAAATTAAATAAAGTCAAAAACCTGCTGCATATATGGAGAAGCCAAATATAGAATTTAAAGGCAAGACAAAAACTAAACGTGTAAACGGTGGAGTGTTCACATCTTCAAGGCAACTTGAAATTTTTATTTCATTGACTATTTGGGCACGTGCCCTAAATTTTCAAAAGCGCAGTACAACAATGGACGATTTGTTTTACTCCTATATTAATTTAAAACGTGTCGAGTTTAAGTGTCAGACTCGCAGGCTTCTATATATTAATTTAAAACGTATTAAGGTAGACTTGCATGTTTTAGAATTTTATATGGTAAAATTACATGCTTCGTTATTAAGTTTAAGTAAATTTTAATTTATTTCAAACTAAAAATAATTAAGTTTAGATTATCCATAAATATGTTGTGAAATTTGAAATTTCCAAAGAGATTGCACCATAGTTGGTGTTTCACTTTTCAGTTATTGATAAAATGAAGAAGAAAACGTCAAATTATACTATTTTGTTTTATAAGTACAGTATACATTTTGTTATGATAGATTCACCGGCCTATCTCACATCAAAATTGATAATTATTAATTAATTACCAAATGTCCGTCTACTCTAAAGCATTTTTATAACTAATCAACAGAGTTGACTCAAGTGGTAAGCAATTTGATGTCGCTTAAACGAGGTCTCGGATTCAAGTCCTTGTGTATGGAGAAAACCCTTGTTGGGAGACTCACCCACCACTGTCCTGTGTGCGACCCTGATCGACCAACGGATTAGTCGGGGTATAACTCTGGATACCGTGACTGGCTCCCAAAAAAAAAAAAAAGCATTTTTAATACTAACCGACAAATGAGGAAAACGTGCTCATGTAATGTTTTATTTATCCCACAAAATCAATAAAATAAAAAAGATAATAAAAAAGATTTGGGTTGACTGAAGTCAACCGGTTGTTCTTCCACGAATCTAGTGAAATTTTGACCAAGAAAAAGAGTTGAACAAAATTTGGTGTGTTTGAATATTGATGTATTTTGTAACATTTTATTTTATATTTAGCCAATCAACAATTGGAACTTTCTCTCTCACTAATATGTTTATAAAATAAAAAGTAATAATTGTTGTGTATTTAACAACTATCAGTTTTAACAATTAACATTATTTTTTTTTATAATTATATTTTTATCTCACGTGTATTCACATAATACAAAATTTTTCAAATAGATGATATATCCATTTGCACCTATACTATTTCAGCTGGGATCCATTGAAATTTTTGTAAATTATTTTTTTATTTTTTTTTTCTTTTTTCACATGCAATGCAATAACTAATAAAAGAAATATGAAATGTTATTATAATATGCAAAGTTAAATTTCTAAAATTGTTCTTTGCAATCTTTCACTTGTTTTTTCTATTTTCATTTGAAATCAATGAGAAAAAATATTGCATTCCATCCGTATTATAATTTCATGTTTGTAATTACAAATGAAAGGTTACCTTTTAAGAGAGAAATGAAAGGTTACATGTATTAGATTTATATTATTTTATTTTGATTGTGCTAGAATATAATATAAGTTATGTTCTAATTTAATTACTTGTTAATTTGAAGATTTTATTTTTTGAATTAGGACACAAATAAAAATGAAGAGAGATAAGTTTGTGGGCTTCAATACTACAGCCCAAAATATTATGTTCTATTTGAACTGTATTTGGGCCTTTGACAAATGGAATGTAGATAAATTACGATGCTCCAGAAGTCCAAATATGATATTAAGACTTAAAAGTAGGTAAATACCTTTTAAATTTTTAGAGCGGAATTAGAAATTAATATTAAATATCTAATTTTTGTATATTTTTAGTACTTACAAAATAAAATATCTCAATTAGTAATAAATTCACACAGCTAAATCTAAATAATAATATTAATATATTATAGAAAAAACATGATAACAAAATAATATAATTAATATCTAAAAAAATTAGAAAATTGTCGCTTAAACACGACTAGCATCGCCTGGACGTAGGGCCTAGGCGATGTCGAGCCGCCTGTTCAACTTTTTTAACAGATTCATGCAAATCGGAGGCAACTCGCCGATGCCTAATGCCTAGACGACCGCCAAGACCGATTTTTAGTACAATGCCTTATACCTTCAATCTAGTTCCTAATACAATAGCCTCACAAATCATATAAATAAACTTCATATTAAATAGACAATATTTGAAACGATGAACTATTTGATAATTTAAGTAATTAAAAGTATAAAATTATTATGTCGAAATCCCATGTGAATGATTGACTAAAAACAAAATATTAATAAATATTTTTGAAGGCCAAATTTTAAAATAAGTGTTCTAATTTGGCCAAAGTCCAATTTTCCACTTCGTTTCAATTTTTCATTTCGTTCTTGACCACTTTCAAATTGAATCTAATAATTGATAACTAAAGCAATTTTGGTAATTTTTTTATCTACACACTGGATTCTAAATAATAAGAATAATAAAAAGTGATGTAACAATTTTTTAATACGAAATGGAGTGTCGTGACTGCTTAATATGAATTTAATAAATTTAATTTTCCAAAAAAGACTTCAACCAATGATAACTTGGCATGTAAATGACATGAATTGAACTGATAGGTCTTCACGCGAAAAACCAGAAATTGACACATCTTTTTCCCGAAATTCCGTCGGTGATGTTGTTGAATAATTGTCACCTGTTAGTCCGTAATTCTGGTCGAGACGTCTGCTCCAGTCTGGTGGTCTCCACCAGGCGCAATCAACAAACACTTGCCAACTTACGCAAATTGCGACCACAACCCACGTCTTGAAAACTTTAGACCGGGCGTCACAAGAATTCGCGTTCAACGCCCATCTCGGCCATATGATGTCGTCTTTGGTCGTCCTTACCAATCCACGAAACTCCCTTGCCAGTGTGTATGAATTATCTCTCCTGTCGGAAATTACCTAAAGTCTTAACAAGTCTAAATTAAATACACAAACTTTTCTAATGTATTAAAAAATCTATAGAAATCACATTAATACAACACATTAGACGATAACGAGTAGGTAGCTCAATTGTTAGCATCCTTCTGCTTCGAATAATAAGTTTTGACTTCGAGTCACGAAGGAATAAGTGAGAACCACTATTTACCATATTTAAAAAAAAAAAAAAAAAAA